TTAATTTTAGTAATATACACTTTAATTAAATATGTCCAAAAGATTATCATTTCAATATGTAATCGATGTAAAAAATTATACTGGGACTTCCCTGGTGGCACAATGGTTAAGAATCCACCTGCCACGGAAGACCTAAACAGACATTTCTCCAAAGTAGACATACAGATTGCCAACAAACACATGAAGAGATGGTCAACGTCACTAATCATTAGAGAAATGCAAATCAAAACCACAATGAGGTACCACCTCACACCGGTCAGAATGGCCATCATCAAAACATCTACAAACAGTAAATGCTGGAGAGGGTGTGGAGAAAAGGGAACCCTCTTGCACTGCTGGTGAGAATATAAACTGATACAGCCACTACAGAGAACAGTATGGAGACTCCTTAAAACAACTAAAAATAGAGCTACTATACAACCCAGCAGTCCAGTCCCACTACTGGGCATATACCCAGAGAAAACCATAATTCAAAAAGATACATGTACCACAATGTTCACTGCAGCACTATTTACAATAACCAGGACATGGAAGCAACCTAAATGTCCATCGACAGACGAATGGATAAAGAAGATGTGGCACATGTATACAATGGAATATCAGCCATAAAAAGGAACGAAACTGAATTATTTATAATGAGGTGGATGGACCTAGAGTCTGCCATACGGAGTGAAGTAAGTCAGAAAGAGAAAAACAAATTCCATGTGCTAACACATATATATGGAATCTAAAAAAAAAAAATGGTTCTGAAGAACCTAGCGGGCAGGGCAACAATAAAGACACAGACGTAGAGAACGGACTTGAGGACACGGGGGGTGGGGGGCGGGGGGAAGCTGGGATGAAGTGAGAGAGTAGCGCTGACATATATACACTCCCAAATGTAAAATAGACAGCTAGTGGGAAGCTGCTGCATAGCACAGGGAGATCAGCTCGGTGCTTTGTGACCACCTAGAGGGGTGGGGTAGGGAGGGTGGGAGGGAGGGAGACGCAAGAGGGAGGAGATATATGGATACGTAGAGCTGATTCACTTTGTTGTACAGCAGAAACTAACACAGCATTGCACAGCAATTATACTCCAATAAAGATATTAAAAAAAAAAAAAAAGGAATCCAATGCAGGGGACACGGGTTCAATCCCTGGTCCAGGAAGACCCCACATGCCGTGGAGCAACTAAGCCTGTGTGCCACAACTACTGAGCCCGTGCGCTGTAACTATTGAAGCCCGCACACCTAGAGCCCGTGCTCCGCAACAAGAGAAGCCACCGCAATGAGAAGCCCGCGCACTGCAATGAAGAGTAGCCCCCGCTTGCCTGAACTAGAGAAAGCCCGCGTGCAGCAACGAAGACCCAGTGCAGCCACGCCCCCCCAAATATATATACTGAGTTATTTTACATTCCTTTTTTTTTCATACTAGGTTTTCAAAATCTGGTTATGTTTTTACACTCATAACCCGCACAATTTGGACCTTCCACACTTCGGTGCTCAGGGGTGACATGTGACTGGCTACTGCACCGGACGGAGTTGGAAGGTATGATTGTAGAAAACACCCCGTTAAAATTAAAAGCCAGGAAGATTAAATACTTAGGAATAAGCTCAATAAGAAATGTGAAAAACCTATAAGAGAAAATTTAAAACATTCCTAAAAGACATAAAGTAGACTTGAACAAATGGAAAAACTCCCCTTGTTCTTGGGAAGGACGAACAACATCACAGACACCAATTCTCCCTAAATTATCTTATAAATTTAATGCAATACCAATAAAGATACCAACAAGGTTGTTTTTTTCTTTTTTTTAAGGGAGCTACGCACACCGACACCAAAGTTCTTATGGGAATACAAACATGAAAGAACAGCCAGGAAAACTGAAAAAGGCTGTGAGGAGAGACGAGCCCTTAAGTCATTAACATGTACAGAACCCCTGAAGCAGCAACTCAATGCAATAATGGCGAGTGAATGAACACAGAGGGAAAGAAAAGAAATTCCAGAACAGACCTGAGGACACACGGTGTAGCACATGGTGGCATCCTGAGTCGCTGAGGCAAGATGAGCTTTTTAATAACTGGTGTTGGGACAACTGGTTAACTATTTGTAAAAGATAGAGCTGGATTCATGCATCACACGATACAAAAGAATGAACTCCAAATAGAGGTATCAGGGAGCTAAGTGAAAAAAGTGGAACCACGCTAATACTAGAAAAAAACTTGGGCACATTCCTCCTTAATCTTCGTGTTAGGATAAACAATCACACCTAACAACTATTTAAAATCCAGAGTGAACTATGTATAAAGTAAAAGAGAAAACTTGTGCTTGGCTACAAAGCACTGGAAAGAGTCAAAGACAACTTAAGGACCTGGGGCAATATCCCCGATTCATAAGGAACTCTTAAAAAATGGAAGGAAAAGAGCAAAAACCCAATTAAAAAATGAGAAAAAGTTACGAATAGAAAATTCACAAAAGAGATATAGAAACAGCCCTTAAAAATATGACCTCACTATAATTAGAGAAAAATGCATATGACCACTTCAGGAATAAGTGCGCCTAACAGATGGGCTCAAGTTACAAAGCCTGACAACACACTCTCCCGGTGAGGCTGTGGCCAAACAGGGGCTCGACAGGGTGGGAGCAATGCAGGCTTCAGAGGAGCAGGCCACATCAACAAGCCCTGTCTGCACTGACCTCTGTGACCCAGCGCTCCCGCAGAAACACCCACGCACAGCACCTGCGCTCCGCCCCGCTGTGTGTCACTACAAACCCCGAGAGCGGGGCAGTGTCCAGCGGAGCCCACTCAGCACCTGAAAGCACAAGGAAGAGCTGTGGACGCACACGGAGGGCCTTTGGAATACAGGATGTGGGGAAAAAGCCACGGGGAAAGGCGTCTCTAATATGCCAACCTTTTGTGTAAAGAACAGAAAAGCAAATAAGAAACTAAGTAGGAATGGGATAGGGAAAAAGAAATCAGGATTAAGGAGGGGAAACAAAACAAAATAGATACAATCAGAAACAAAGGAAGCCGGCTGCACTTCCTAGGAGTCCCCGTGGCTGTACTAAACGTGCCGCACTAGGTCCTGTGGGGGGAAGAGACCTGCCAACCCTCAGGCTAGAGAAGGAGCCCTGAACAGACACGGGGGGCAGGTGCGCCGGCCGGTCTCCCACCGCGGTGGGAGCAGGCAATTCTGAAGCCACCCGTGTGTCCCCCCAGGACCTCAAGGCAGGAGACACACTGTGGACCGCGGGGAGGGGGCTGCAGGGAGCGCAGTGGCACCGGAGCCGGACTGCAGTTGTCAGGGTGAACGGGTGGTTTTTACTGCAGAGATTAGATACCGAAAGACACAGATGTGTGTGTGGGGGGGGGGCACGAGGAGTGCACACGTGCCTGCGTACACACACTCGCTCCCCCTCCTAGGCCCTGCCAACCACACACCAGCTCTGGGTCTCAGAGCCGGGACATCTAACTGTGCACAGAAGTGCTCAAAGCACAACGGGGTGCAGAGGCCACGCAGAGGGGGCTCCCACCGACTGAATCTGGGGGCATCGAAATAGTGTTAGTAAAGGCTTATAACCTATAGCATAAAGAAAGCATCTACTAACCCGCCCTTGTATAAATAATGAAGTAAATGAAAAAAATACGTGGGGAAGAAGAGCTCTTCCTACAGAACGTTGAGTAAGAAAGGGAGAAGGAATGGCATCAGAAAAGTCACCATTATGTAGGCAAAGAGCACAGTAATAATCCCCCTGGGCAACACTGTCGTCCACGGATGCTAAAAGTAGTGGATGAATGTCTGATACGGCGTAAGGGACTCGTCTCCCCATGAGACACTCCGGGTGAGCACAGGTCAGGTGTCAGCCTGGCAGAGGAGAGACAGGCCGACCGCACGCACCACGGTCCAGGAGGAGAGTTACCAACACCGGGCAGTGTGCCTCCTGACGGCAGGGCACCCACCAACACAGACCCGTCACCCCCAAGGCGCTGCCGCCAACGCTGCGTAACCTGAACCTGGCTGTGAAGGAACAGCACCAAACTGAAATTACTCTAGACAGCCATTTACTCTAAAAAAGGGGTGGGTCATACTCTAGAGATGTCAGGTTGTGAGAAAGTGAGGAACTGACCCATTAAAGGAGATTAAAGAGATATGACGGTGACCCTGGGTTGGATCCTGTGTCAGGAGAAAACTTTGTTTCCTAGGACGTTAAAGGGATGAAGGGAGGAACACGCCCACGCCTGCAGCCCGGTAACGGTCCTGCGTCAGTGTTAACTTCTTGATTTTAACAACCACGCTGCGCTCCCTGCAGCCCCCTCCCCCGGTCCACAGTGTGTCTCCTGCCTTGCGGTCCTGGGGGGACACACGGGTGGCTTCAGAATTGCCTGCTCCCACCGCGGTGGGAGACCGGCCGGCGCACCTGCCCCCCGTGTCTGTTCAGGGCTCCTTCTCTAGCCTGAGGGTTGGCAGGTCTCTTCCCCCCACAGGACCTAGTGCGGCAGGTTTAGTACAGCCACGGGGACTCCTAGGAAGTGCAGCCGGCTTCCTTTGTTTCCGACTGTAACCATTTTGTTTTGTTTAGTTGTTAAAATCAACAACGACATCGTGCCCCCCCATCTGTATCTTGCTGTATCTAATCTCTTGTTTTGAGGAAATACACACAGCAGTATTTCAGGGTAAAAGGGCACTCTCATTTGGTTCAGAAAAGTAACCAAGAGGGAGAGATAGGACACAGCAAGTGTGGTGACACGCTGAGCTGACGGGAGTATGTGGGAATCCTTCGTGCTCTTCCCTGTAGTTTGCGGGAAGTCTGAAATTATTTCAAGGTAACCGAATACAACCACAATGCCTACGCGTCCCTCACGGCTGGTGCAGAGGTCACACAAGGCACGAAGCCACGACATGGACGGCAGCACCCCCCTCCAGGAGGGGTGGACCCTGAGAGGCACCCGACCCAACGCCCTCCTCGCCCCACGATGCCCCAGCTACACAGGCGCCCCCTTCTGCTCTGTGTTTATTTACCGATTGAGCCGCTGCCTCTGTCTCCCTTCTTCTTCTTGCTTTTCTTGCTCTTGCCCTTGGGCTGCGGAGAGTCTGCTGGCACCGGCTTGCCACTCTGCGGGTGCTCGCTGGGCGCGGCGGGCTCTGCGGGGCCCGGGCTCGGCTTCTCCTCCCGGACGTGGTTCAGCTGCTTTCTGTTGTTGTTGTTGCTGTTGACTTTCCTCTCCTCCCTTCTGTGCTCCGCCAGGGGCGTGAGGTCAAGCACTCTGGCCTTTGACTCAGCCTGGGGCCGGGGCCGGGGCTGGGCCTCTGAGGCTCTGGGGGGCTCCAAGGGCTTCCTCGCCGGCTCGCCGCCCGCTTTACTGCTGTGCTTCAGCTTCTGTTTGCTGTTTCCCTCCTTGTGCTGATGCATCATGTCCAGGAGAAAGGACAGCGGCTGCTGCTGCTTCCCGTTGACCCCCTTCGGCAGAAGGAGCTTGGAGTCTCTGGCGGCCACGGGGTCGGGGGTGTCCGCGTCGGCCCCCGGCCCCGGCCCCGTGTCTCTATGGTCCACGTGTCTGGAGGGGGAGCGAGAGGAGGTTTCCGGGTCTTCACTCGGCTCCAGCGAGCCGTTGTGCATGCTCTCAGAGCCGGGCACAGCCTCCGCGGCCGCCTGCAGACTCCGAGCGAGCATGTCCAGCTCGGGACAGGCCTTCCTTGGCCTCTCCTTCTTCTTCTTCTTCACGGCCCTCAGCTTCTGAAGCTCCTGCAGCCTCTGGAGCTCCTCCTGCAGCCGCTGCTGCTCCTCCTCCCGCCGCCGCTCCTCCGCTCGCAGGTGCAGGTGCTCCCGGGCCCGGGCCTCCGCTTCCAGGCGTGCTTTCTCCTCCAGCTGCCGACGTGAAAGGAAAAGGCAACTTAGGACAACAGTAAGTGCTCTAAAAAAAGTAAGACACGCACACAAAAGTGAGATAAAACTGAATCGCACGATAAGAATAGAAACACTGAAAGGGGCTGTGACAGGTCAAAAGCTTAAAACACACCTCCATCAAAGCAGGGGGTGGCAGTCAACAGAACATCCCTTGTAGCCTCCGACCTAGCCCCGGGCACAGAGGACGAGGTCAGAGCAGCCGCCGTGCTCCTGCCCTGCGTGGGCTCTCCCGTCTGTGCGCGGCGGCAGGTGGGGGATGAACTGGACAAGAACAAGACTGATCGCGAGGCAGCAGTTACACAGCCGCACAGGTGCCGCCAGAACCTTTCCAGGTGGGGAATGCTGCTGATGCGTTCATGTGGGTCAAAGCGACATTCAAGAAAATGTGTACTGAAAAGCTCGGAATTTCTTTTTCCCACCCTAGCAGGTAAAATTCCCAATATATTTTCACTAGTGTGACAGAGCAAATGACTTCCTAAAATATTCAACATGACGTGGCAAATAGACAAAGGTTATTTCTGCTGTCCAACTGGCAGGAAATTAATTTTCAACTCAAGCGAAGATTGTATTTTTTTAGTGACACACATTGCAGGAGCACAAATGGAAAAGATTCCTTCTGATTAGAAAACAAACGAGGGACTTCCCTGGTGGTCCAGTGGTTAAGACTCCGCACTCCCAATGCAGGGGGCCGGAGTTCGATCCCTGGTCAGGGAACTAGATCCTGCGTGCCGCAACTAAGACCCGGGGCAGCCAAATAAATAAATAAATATTTTTTAGAAAAAGAAAACAAACAAAAACCCAGTGAGAATAAGGAGAACGGCTCCTCCATCACTGGGCTCCAGTAAGGCTCACGATCGTGAGAATCTCTGAAAAAAACATTTTGCGTGGGAAAATGTAAAGGTCCTTCCGAATTTAAATATTCTTCATTATGTTTCAGAAGGCAATATTTTTTAAGAGACAACTTGCTTGTTTTGCTAAATAACTTAAACATAAAATTAGGTTAAAAATTCAATGACAGGTTTCAGAAAAATGTAACTTGCCAATTCAAGTAACGATCATTTAAAATTCCTGCTCCATCTGTTAAAGGAAAGCTTTGCTGGAGGCAGCGCCTGACAGACAAACTCCCACCGTGTCTCCCGCAGTGGCCCCTGCAGGCACTCCAGGGCCTCCAGTCTGCAGGCCTGACCTGCCTCAGGACAGACTCTACAGCGAATCCAACCCCGGTGTGTGCTGCCTTCATTTCAACAAGAGACAAGGCAGCTTTGTGGGTCCCCCTGCAAACCAGGTGCTCGGCAGAGAGCACGAAGGGTGAGAGCGGGTGCCGAGGGCGACCCGGGATGCACCTGCAGCGTGGTCCGGATCCAGGCCACCTGCAAGGACAGAGGATAGGAGTCTGGGTGGGGGCAGCCCTGAAAGCACCTGAGCCAGTCCAGAGGCTTCCGATGAAGCCCAGTGGCGACAGTCTCCAGGGCCTCGGACCACCTGGGACCCCGGGTGCTGAAGCACCCCTGGGTGGAGAACACACCTTCTCCCCACACCAGGTCTGGGGCAGAAGCAGGCCGCCCCCTCCAAGCCCCCTAATTAGACCTGTGGCCAATCCAGACCTATCTCAGGACCGGGGTGGGTACACAGCGGCAGTGAATCCACTCAGTTCAATCACAGCTACCTTAAGAGTCACGGCAACTAAGTTGGAAGCAACACCACACGACAAGTGGCCCGACCCTGGGTCCACTGTGGGCATGTCTCCTCCTTCACAGGGGCCTCACGCCCTCCCAAAGCAACCCATCCTACAGTCAGAGCCCTGTGGTCCTGACGAGTCCCCTCTGGGCACAGCCCACACCTGCCTGCTGAGGCGGGCTCGTGGAGCCTGACACCTTCAGGGAGCTGAAACCGGGAAGAACCTCCAAAAGAACTGGCGGGGGTGGGGAGGAAACCCCAGAGGAGATGCTGTTCCCATCACTTTCAGCGTCGCAGGAAGTAACGGATACAATTTCTCGCCTAGCGGCACAGTCTGCGCACCACGCTCCCGCGTTGAGACCCGCTCAGTCCGGCCGCAGCTCCCCACTGGGCCAGCCTGGCCAGTCTCAGCAGCTACTTGCCTTTGTGGCAGCCCCTGCCCTAACGGTGTGGGGGCCTCCTTACTCTCGACGTCACTGCCACGTGCAGGCCCTCCTTCGAGCGGTACTCCCTGATCCTCCTCTGCCAGTGGGGCCGCTCGGGGCCCTGCACCAGCCTCGGGTCAAAGGCGCTCCTTCAGCCCCAGTCTCCAGAAGCCCACAGTGCCCCGCCCTCGACAGCCAGGGCTGCTTCCCCTGCTTTCCTGGGAAAGAAGTTCCTTCGACAGACAAGAGGCGGAGGGGCTGCTGCTGCCCCGACGCTGGCCAGCACGAGAACCGGAGGCCTGTTTTAGAGCCCTTAACAAACCCCTGGCACAGGAGGGGGCCCCACGGCCTGAAAATACAACCTGGGTCTTGAAGCAGCGTCCAGTTCAGGCTGGCAGGCGGTCAGGGGCTCCTGAAGCAACACTGGGAGGCTGTCGCCCAGCCCCGACCTCAGAGGCCCCCCCGGAGGCCGCCTGGCGCAGACCCTCTGTTTACCTTTCTCTGCTTATGCCGTGCACGCTTGGCGGCCCGCGTGCTGCTCACGGGCTTGGTCTCCGAGCTGTTTATGAACTGGAGCAGGTCCTCCACCCTGCGATGGTCAACCACACTCTCCCTTTCTGAGAGCTGATCCGTTTTCTTAGGCTGCTCTTCCTTCCTCTTGGTCAGCCGTAAACGAAGCTTTTCCCTCATTTCTGCATAATTTCTACTTGTTGGCGCAGCGGGAGGCTAAGACCAACGGAAACATGACGAAATGCAAGTTTTCATGATTTTGAGTATACCAAATTTCAGACCATAGCATTAAAAGTGAAATTTTTATTGCTCAAGTGACACATGCTCATCCGGAAAAGTAACTAAATAGAAGAAACAAATGGCGAGAAAAAGAAAACCTTTCATCACCAATTACCCAAAGGTAGTATTTTGGCATTGACCTGTCAAGCTTTACATATTCACAAAAACATCTGGCAGAGGATGTACAACTACGTACACAAATGGTTATTTTTAAACTAAAAAGAAACTATTATACATGCTGTAACTGATCTACTTTTTATGTAATAGGATGTGACTATCTTCTCGCATCAATAGATGTGTTTATAGCATTTTTCCATCCCCTCGCAGGTTTCCTCTTCAGAGCCGAAAAGCCTTCTCACTGACTACTAAAAACACCTGCATGAGCTGAGGAAACACGGAGAGACTAAAGCAGAAAAAGAACAGCTCCCGGCCCTGCTCTTCCCGCCGCCCAGCCCCAGACACCACGGCTGACACCTGCTTGTACGGATGGAATGACTGTCCTGGCACACCACACAGTGCGGATGTGTCTCAATGCACTGTGCAGTCGAGCAAGAGGAATCCGCCCGCACAGGCCGTCCACTGTGTGGACTCAACAATTCCCACGCCTGGGGAGTTGGTAGGTCCTATCTAATCAAATGCAAAAATGCAGAGATGAAATACTCAAAACTACGTGTCATTATTTCTTTATGACAACTACAACCTAGAAGTGGAACCACTGTTTTAGACGGTATCTCGATTTTAATTATGCTCGCAACTACCGCTTTACACACAGTGTAACCATACCCTGAATTCAACCTGGTACATTACTCTTGCAAATGAGTTTGCACATTTTACAATTCTAATTTAAACACGCAATTTACAAACGCCCATGGCGAAACACTAATTTTACGCACTTAAGTGCGCGCTCCGGCACCTGCCCCTCCCCCGAGGAGGCCCTCGGCAGAGGAGAGGCCAAGGCACTTACCCCGCCATGCCCGAAGAACTCACAGTAGCAGCAGTCACAGTACTTGCCCTCCTTCTGGTTGGTGGAGGTGGAGGTGCTGGAGCTGTGCTCGGAGCAGCTGTCCTCATCCGCAGTCTCGTCTCCGTCGTCCTGCTGCGGGTCATAGACGCCGTTCTCGCAGCGATGCCCTTCACAGTCGGGGTCGCTGCAAAACCGCGCAGGGCCCGTCAGCAAGCAGCCTGCCCCTCAAGGGGTGCGAGCATGGCGAGCGGTGGCCGAGGTGGTTCTTTCCGACCAGCCTGCCCTCACCAACGAGGCGCGGGGCCTGCACGACCCAGGGGCCGCGCAGGCAGGACAGGCGCAGGCCGGCGGGCACACCCAGAGGGGCTTCTCAGGTGCACACACACGGCCTCTCCACTGTCCCTCCCACCACCATTTCATCCTGGGGGATGTCAGGGCGGGGGAGTGGCGGCAAGTTCAAAGGTAACGAACACTGACTTTTTAAAGAAAGCTGTTGAGTGTCCGTTGCATTGTTCTTTGCTCAGTGTGTAACAAACACGACTTCAAAACACCCACGGGCCCCCTGCCGCTGCCGGCGGTCTGCGCACAGACCCACAGTGGCCCTGTGCTCTGCGGAACCGGCCGAGACCGGAGCCCGCCCCTCCCCGCTGCCGTCCCCCGCTGGTGAGCTGCGAGGCCCTGGGCGCCGGAGTGTCTCCGGCAGTCCTGCAGGGTTAGGTCGCACAGCACCCATTCTGAAGCGCGCCGGCCTCCCCCCCGCAACCCGCCCCGCCCCGGGCTCACCTGCAGACGCTGGGAGGCGCGCTGACGGAGCCGTCTGTGGTGGGGGCCACGGGAGCAGGACAGAAGCTCTTGCGTGAATCCGCAAACCCGGGAGAGGTGGCGGCCGTTTTGGGGAAGGACGGGGCTGCGAGACTGGCAAGGTGAGGCGCGGAAGCTGGAGAGAGGGCGGTGGGAGGGAGGGCAGGAAGCGGCACCAGACCTGTGGGGCTGTTCCTCGGGGCCGCCGGCACCCCGTGCCTGTGATCCTCCTTGTTGATGCCGTGAAAGACGTCACCTGCGTTCAGAGATGCCAGAGTCACTGCCAGTGGCCAAGGTCAGGCAGATGTTCAGGCTTCTCTAAGTTAAAACTTTTTTTTTTTTAAACCAACTTTTGGTCTGAAAATGTTCAAATCTATAGAAAACTTGAAGGAATAGTACAAAGAATACCCATACACCCTTCACCTAGACTCGAGTATTTACTATTTTGTTATATTTACTTTGTCTGTCTGTCTGTCTCTCACACACACACACACACACAGACACACTTTATTGGTGGCTTAACATGTGGAAGCAAAGCTGCACTCACTCCTAAACGTTCCAGCCTGGACTCCTGAGAACATGCACGCTTTGCCGTAAAACCTCGACACCAGCGCCAACTACAGACAATTAACCTCGTGGTGACATTCTCATCTCACGTACAACCCCATCCAGACTTCTGGCCTCTCCCACAGTCCTTTGCGGCTTTTCCCCGAACCCAGCATCTTTTAAACTTTCTTTTTTTCCTTCCACAATACTGACATTTTTTGAGTTGAGGCCAGCTGTCCACAATTCTGGATTTACAGTCTCATGTCCGATTTAGCTGAAAATATTCTACGCATGAATCCTGCAAAGGTTACGTTGGATCTTCCCATCTGATTGCACAGGAAGCACCTAACGTGTTTGCTGCTGTCGGTGAGGCTACATCTGATCAGGTGTGCAGGGGGGGGCAGTCGGCACCTTATCTTCCCTTTGCAATCTGCCAGTCACCTGTGGGTGCTGCTCCCAGACACCGGCACTACTGCATTCCCCAAACTGAGATCCAATGTCCTGACGCCCATGAGGACGCTTACCGGGCCCCCTGTCACCGGCTGGCTGCAGAGTGGCCTTCTATCTGTACCGGTCTTGCACACGTAGTCAGCAGCGAGCTTCCACCCAGACAGCTTCCCACCCGACTCCCTCTTTTGAGCGTCCCGAAGGATTCTCGACTTTAGTTGTGTGCTACAATCCGTTCCTTCATTCTTTCTGATGCTCAGACAGTCCTAACTTTGGCTAGTGAGGCCTCTCTGATCCGGCTCCCGTGTCCCTTTGACATTTGCCCCTGGTCTCTGACTGCCCCCCTTGCTTTCAAGCCCCCTCTTCGCTGTGCTCAGGGCAGAGTGTGACAGCGACACCACCTCCACACCAGTGACCTGCACGGCAGCAGGGGCTGCATCTCAGGCTGGTCAGCAGCCCCATCAGCTGACTCTCCATGAGGCTTCTACTTTCAGATGCCTAAAAATTACTCCACGTGTTCAGGAAGCAAAGACCTCTCTCCACCACAGAACAAGAAGCGCAGAGAGGAAAGGCAGGACACAGTGTGGCAAAGCCCTGGAGGGTGTCAGTGTGACAGTGAAGTTCTCATCAGAGCCCTGGAGGACACGCTCTTTGTGCACGAGCGTTCTTAGGTGTTAATTACACTGACATCCCTGGCCAGGCCGAGTGAAAGGGAATTACAGAGCTGCTGAGGAAGAAGGAGCGAATACGCAGCGCCCACCCCGAGGGCTCCTGCGGGCTGGTGAGCCTTACCGAGGGAGGGCGGTCTCTTGGACGACACTCTGAACTGGCTGTTGCTCGACTGCACCGTGGTGGCCGTGCAGGACACGGAGGAGGTGGCTGACGACGTGGCCATCACAACTTTGTTTGCTTCCATAAAAGCATCTTGGAAATTGTACAAACATTTCTTTTTCGCGGCGTTTTTTTTCTCTTTGCTATCCGGAACTGCAGGCGTTTCATTGCTAGATGGAGGTGGAAGAGCTTCAGGTCTTGTTTCTGAGAGTGTTGGCCCTAATATGTCATTCCCTTCAGAGAAGAATGGGAAAATTAAGGCTTCTAAAAGAAAGAGCATTTAGCTAAAACCTAAAGGACATCTGCTGAATAAACTATTAACACTGGGGCTGCTACTGAAGTTAGGATTCCAATGGGATGACACTAGTCAACTAGTTTTCATCTCAGAAGAAAAATTTATTGAGCACCTACTATGTGCCAATTCCTGTGCTAGGTGCTTTCCAAAAGTTATTTAATGTCTTAAAATACTTTCTGAGCTTAGTACTATCATTCCTATCCTGAAGATGAAGAAACTGAGGCTCAGAGAGGCTAAGCAACTTGCCCAAGGTCACACAGTTAGAAACCCTTTCTAAGCACAGACCAGATGTCAAGTCTAGCTTGCTGTTCTGAGCACATGCAGGGGCGGGGGTGTGGGACCACCAGGGGCTCTGACCACGTGAAGACAGAGATGAGGCAGAGGTACCAACCCCTCTTCAGGCATGCCCTGCCCTGCCACTGAAGAAACAGCTGCACCTCAGCAGTTGAGGCCGCAAGGAGGAAGGTGCTTGTTAGAGGGGACAGGTCCCATGTAGGGTCAGTGCAGAAAGAGAGAAAAGGAACGTAAGTCATAGCATTCAAGCCACACCACCCTGCTGCACCGGGTCGAGGTCTGCTGGTCACCAATGCTCAAGAACCAAAGGCCCAACACTGCACCCTGGAGCCAAGACGCTCAGCAGCCCTGGGGCGGGAAAGACCCAGTGTCCGAGGCCCGTCCGGCTCCTGTGCCGGCAACGGGCCGCCAAGCCCAGAGCCTTGCTCCGCTCCTGGCAGCAGACATGGGTGGCTGGAGCAGCCTGAAGGGGCCAAGGGGCCTCCTGCTAGAGGTGGAGGTGAAGGGAAGCAGCAGCCCGGGCCCCTACTGGGGAACTGCAGCAACAGAGAGGGCAATCCACTCAGCACAGATCATTTTAAACTTTAAGAAAGTTTTAATGAGTTCCTTACCAGAAATTGTATCTGGCAAGAAAGTGCCAGGATTCCAGTTCTTATCATTCATCACTTCTGATCCCCAAAGACTTATAAATTTAGAACTATTCCACTCTGGAGTATTCCCAAAACAGCTCGGATAAATATGGTCTTGAAGAGATGCATTGAATACCTGATGTTTATTTGTGTGATTCTGAACAGGTGCTGGCGGTAAAGCCTACAAAAAAAAATGTTCTAATCATATATCAAAATTAATATTCTATTTACCTAAGTAGTTAAACTACAAACAGACAAGTCATTACTGAAACCCTGTGGGACGCGCCTGCCGTGAGCAGGTGTCCCGGGAGCGCGTCTTGCAGAGGCTTGAGTATTTATGAGGCTGTGCGTGACGGGGCAAATCTGAACCAGATGTAGATTTTAAAAGCAACTGATGCTCAAGGAATGTATCAGACAAACTTCAGACAACTCGGTGACTTCTCACATTCCTCCCTAGTCACATGTTATTTTATTTTTTTAAATAAATTTATTTATTTGTTTTTATTTTTGGCTGTCTTGGGTTTTCCTTGCTGCGCGCGGGCTTTCTCTAGTTGCGGCGAGCAGGGGTTACTCTTCGTTGCAGTGCACGGGCTTCTCATCGCAGTGGCTTCTCTTGTTGCAGAGCACGGGCTCTAGGCGTGTGTGCTCAGTAGTTGTGGCTCGTGGGCTCTAGAGTGGGCTCAGTAGTTGTGGCGCACGGGCTTAGTTGCTCCGCAGCATGTGGGATCTTCCCGGGCCAGGGATGGAACCCGTGTCCCCTGCATTGGTAGGCGGATTCCCAACCACTGTACCACCAGGGAAGCCCCCTAGTCTCATTTTAAATGAGGCCCATTTGCATGAGATCTGTTCCTGTGGCTTATTCTCATCTGACATTTTAAAAATCACCGTGCACCGCAAGGAAGAGTAGCCCCTGCTGGCCGCAAAGTCAACTTTGGAATCACTCATAAAAATGGTCAGCTCTTACGCTGTTCCCTCACACTTGGACAAAGTGCAGTGTAAGTGTGAAGAAAAGATGGATTCTACATTGAGCTCTAAACCACCCTCCCCGGGGCGGGGAGGGGAAGACCCTTGTCTGAAGGTGCCAAGGGAGGGCGCTGGGTCCACACATTTATGGGGTGACTGGCCGTCAGCTGCTCCCTGCACACGTCCTGGGCCGTCCCTCCCCTTGGTCCCCCTGCCCCCGCCCCCCATACCCGCAACAGTCTTCCCCACCGCAGCCAGAGTGGGCTCATGGAATGTGAGTAGGAGGGCGTCACTCCCACACTCCGGCTGTGCCACTGGTCTCCCACTGCTCTGACGTAAAACCCAAAGTCCTGAACGTGGCCGGCCGCCCCCGTCCTTCCTGATCACGAAGCCCCTGGACACACGGGTCTTTCCTTGGTCCTCAAACTCCAAGCTACTTCTTGACCCACAACTTGGCCCACACTGTGTCCACTTTCTAGGAGGTCCTAATCTCAGCTCAGACCTTGCTGACTTGCATTTATCCTACTGGCCACAGCCTAGATGTCACGTCCTTGGAGAAGTCATCACTGCCTTTGCTCTCACCACCCAGCACCCAGACCACGGGGGGCCTTCCCATCAAACACACTGAAGTCCATCAGTTTTCCCTCTCAGCACTTACCACAGTCATAATTCAAGACTTATCTTTAACCTATTGGTTTAACGTCTGCCTTGCCTCGAGTTACATAAACTGCAAGGGGATGGGGCCGCCTGGATCCTGGCCCTGCCGCCCCCAGCATCTCGCTGATGCAGCACACGGCCTTCCCTCTGCAGGTGTGTGCCCAGGCCCACCCAGACGAGCTACAGGTCTGTGCTGGGAGCGTCCCTGAGGACACAGGAATGAGCAGTGAGTGCTGTGAGCTCAAGTGGGAGGGTTTGGGGATGATTCCCAGGGCGGTGATGGTCTGGCAGAACCCTGAGGGCCTGGCTGGGCAGAGGGTCGAAGGGAAGGGTCAGAGCACGGGGATGGCCAATGTCCAGGGACAAGTGTGCCACCACCTGACGGGCTGCAGGGGCCACAGCAGAGACAACCCCGTGTGACTTCCATCCTGAAGGGGCTGGGAAGCCACAGAGGTTTCTACGCAGCAGGGTGAGACGGTCTGGTCAGCTGATTAGAAACATGGATCTGTGGCAACCTGGTGAAGGAGCCAGAGGGGCAAGGATGACGCAGAGAGCAGTTAGTAAGGGGCCGGGGAGGGCTGGAGCGCTGGCGGGGCAGGTGGGGAGGAAGGGGAGGGTTTGGGAGCTCCAGGCCGGCCACGTCTGAGCTGAGACTGTGCTCAGGTCAGAGCTGCTGCCTCTGGCTCCACCCCTGGGAGGCGTGGCCAGTGACGGAGCTGGACTTCCAGGCTGCCCAGTCTGAGGGGTTCAGGGCCAGCCCGCCCTTTACTAGCTGTGTGACCTCAGGCAAATTACTCAATCTTTTTGTGCTTTAGTTTTCTCATCTGTAATTTGGAAATACCTACCTCCAGGGGACGCGGTAAGAATTAAACCAGACAGTGCATGTCAAGGGTTTAGCATATGGCCGGGCCCAAAGGAGGCATTTCCCAAGTGCTAAGGTGGGTCTCCCTAGACACGAGCCAGGCCCCCACCCCACCCCCGCCCCCGCTTCCCTCCCTCAGCTCGGGCCGCTGAGCAGCTTAGCGCACCTGCTGAACGGGCTCAGAGAGACGAAGGTGGAGGGTGAGGCTGGAGCGGATTCAGGATTTGAAAGTGGGAAGAAACAGGGCTAGACTGGACGCCCAGGACCAAAGCAGAAGCCTGGACCAGCTGTTCTGGCGGAGCAGCCCCAGGGGCAAAGGGCGAGGACAAGAAACCTGTATTTCAGCAGATGTCAGTTTCCACAAAGAAGTGACAAACTAAGAGCTGCTTTGCTGAGAAGGGACGGATGAAAACTAACGATCAAATGGAAGAAGGTTTCTTAGTCTTGAAGACCTTCTGCTAAGGGCAGACATACCTGACAGGTGGGAAGCAGCCGCTTGCTCACCACGTCAGCTCTGAGAAGCAGCTCGGAACAGCAGAAGCACGTTGAGGGCTCGGAAGCTACTCAAGAACTTCGGAGACCCTCTGGGCACGGCCAAGCGTTGCTGGCTCCTTCCTCCCGGAGAAGGCCTGGCTGACTGCCGGGAGCCGCCGCCTGCGTCTTTCCAGAGAGCCTTTGCTCACCCTTCAGCACTCTGGATACCCGAACATGACCTCTCTGCAAACCCACCCCACAGGCTCGGGGAGTTCTCCTTCAGTGTTACTTTCCTACTCCGCATCTACAATTCCTATTAAGGTACGTCATAGTATTTTGAGTTTTCAAATTTGACTGACTGTGTTTTTGTCTTCTCTTTAGACCGCGAGGTCTCTGAGAACAAGCACAAGGACTAACCAGTTTTATTTTTCTAGCATGTAGCACAGGGCCTGGCACATACCGGATGTTCAATAAATGGGCAGAATTTAACTTGGCGGAATAAGGGGATGTAGCCATGGAACTGTTATGCTGGAGACATAAGTCAGCGATTCTATACATCTGACTCACACACTTCTTCAGAAGCCTGTCTACTCAAAACAGGAGGCCCAGCTGTAGAGAGCAAAGGGAGCAGGGGTCTGTAACAAGCAAGCTGTATTTGTACGAATGCTTCTGCACAAGACGCCTACTAACTTCCATAGCTACGGGTTTCCTTCAGGGAAAGAACAGGCACCTGTCACCCAGACCATTCTGGGGCCACGCCTCCATAAAAAACACTAACGACTTAAGCACCAAATCAGCCTCTCAACATGTGGCTAACGCTATTAAGTTGGAACACTGCTTTCAATCTTTACACAAATCCACATGGCTTCAATTAACAGAAGTTCTCAATTGTTCTCCTCTTTGAGACAAAACTGACTCACGGGAAAGCAAAATTTTGCTTTCAGTGGAAGCTCCGACACACACACTAACTGATGCCCTCACCACGCATGCCTCTGCGTTTATGCAGGAACCTAAGACCCAGCCCGTCTCACACCCAGATGTCATCCCAGATGCCATGAGCACGGAGCCGAGAGAGCACAAGGCTGAGCCACTGAGCACGGGCGGGAGAGGCCGCTGACGCCCAGCGTGCAAACAAAAGGGTCCACTTATATCCCAGCGAACAAGAGAGTGACGACCCCTCTACTCTGCACTTCTTCTCAGAGGCTCTTCAGTACTCCTGCCAGAGGAGAAGAGGCAAGAGCCCCACCTCTGTTTCGCTGTTTCTTAGCGTCAGAAGAACTGAACTCTGCCTCTGAAATAAAACGCAGATCACAGGTCACAACATGACCCCCAGATGGCAATCTATTTATGTCCCTATTTTCCACACAGCATTTTTCTCCGTCGAATTCCAATTGATCTTACACTTGTACCACGTTTAACTTTATGAGATACTTCTGCAGTGGTTGTACACAAGTAACCCGGTGAGGAGGTGACAGGTTCACAGGCCCACAGCCACGTGGGAGTCACGTCACCAGGCTCCACTCAATGCACTGAACTCACTGACCATTTCCAAATAACCCTTATGCTCCCGTGGAGACTTCAAGACATGTGTCCACCTTCAGCTCCAGGCCCTCCCTAATGGGGCAACTGCTTCACAACACATTCTCCAGATGGAAAAGACACAGGACTTAAAGCTGGAAGCCTCGAGCACCGCTCCTGGGCCACGCGCAGCAGGGGAGCCTGCTCTGCTGGGGAGCAGGAGGTGTGGCCCATGCGCTCGTCTCCAAGGCCGCAAGTTCTCCCTCCCAGGCGGGCGTGGTCCAGTGAGGGGGGACACTTCGCTTGACGTCCCAGATAACTGGCACCAAGCACTTTTGTAACAAAGGGCTGAGCTGCGGAGAAAGCAAGGGAAACGGTCCACAAAGAACTGACAAGAACATGGCAAGAAAAACAGGACCCAGTGGAGGTGCGGGAAGGGATGGCTGCCCTGGGGACGTGTGCGCCATCGTCACCGTGAGGAGGGGATGGGTCTGTGGTCCCAAGGGAGGAAGGAGAGCTGGAGACAAGGGGAGCTGGAGGGTCCCAGAGGGTCAGCTCCCTGCTGGCACCTTTGCACCAGCAAATGCGAACCCTCTCTTGAGGAAGCGTCCCCTATTCAGCACCTGCTCAACAAAACATGATTTCATGATAAAAACAGATTTAGGTCCTCAAGGTTTCATTCAAACACAGAATAACTGTGTGTAAAA